AACACGGCCACACAGCCCGGAAGACCCACACCAGCCATCGTATGCCGGCCGTGAAAGCCTTCGACAATACATTCCTTCTCTAAGTCTGGACTGATCTCCTAATTTCAACATTGTGCTTAATAGATGATGCTTTCCAACTGTCAGCACAACTAAAGTAGCATCCTAATCTCTTGCCAAGCAAGTGGGAATTCATGGGGTTTTTTTCTTTACAGTTAGTAAACACAAGTGAAAATTTAAGCAGAAGTCGGAAGATCCTACGTTCCATGTCAAGAAGGTTGGTGAAATGATGCTTTAAAATATGCTCTGAATCTTGAGTCAAAATGTTTTGTGATGTTTTCGATGGGATTCTTGTGAAGCTTATTCCTTCAGTATAGGCTTGGCCTATCTCAGGTGTCCCTGTGGAGGAATGACTGGTATTGCTTCATCTTTAGGCATTTGTGCATATAATGCAAAGTCCAGCCAGAGTGGAGCATTTGTGGGTTGGGTGCTGATTAGTCCTTCTTTGAACAAATCCTACCCAGGCTCTTGCTGGGGCTACCACATCTAGGCTGCAAACCATTGGACAATGACTAGAAAGCAGCAAGAATGTTTTGTATCTCTTTGCTGCCATCCAGGGGTCACCTGGATTTTTGCAGCCTAGATCTGGTAATCCTAGCTTTTGCTAAAGTGAGAGAGGGGACCTTTTTTTGCCAATTTTTTCTTTTGTATGCTGCCATTATGGCCTTTCCTATGCTGCACAGGAACAGATTGCAGGAATATGAGAAATAGATAAAAATCCTATACACCTAACATGAACACAAACATACAATTTTCTCTAGCAGTAATGTTCTTTAAGTGGATACCGTAGATTCATTTCCCCCCCTTTGGAACAAGAATATAAGAAAAATAGGATATGCCCCTGAATTTAAGATACCTCTCAGAATGGAAGAATCAACAGAAAAGCAGTTGTATAAATGCTATATAAAACCCTGTGTAATGTCCAGTTTCTACCTCTTGTCAGGTGACTACCTCTGGGCACATAAGGCCGAATTGTTCTTTAAAGCTCCCCACTATACATGGTTACAAACATTGGCCACTTTCTGAGACTCCGGCCACATAGAAAGAATTCTGAGCAGTCAGACACTAGAGCACTCTTACTGTATGTCCACAGCAGCAGTTTTCAGTTTGTCAGCAGAAAAAAAAAAAACAAACCAGGGGCTTCCATACACTCAGGATTATTCTTTATTGAATATATACAAAGGAGAACTACTGAAAGACAATATTCAAGCCATTAAGGATCATCAGATTTTCAGTTCTTTGTGCTCTTCCATTCACCAAAAACTGTGACTATTAGAGCTTTACCTTTGCAATTAGGAGTGAAGGATGTGTGTCCTGCCTCTACTGTGTACGGTCTAGCTATCTTCTGTCCTGGACTAGTAGTTTTTCTTAGAAGTCCCTGGCCCATAATTTGGCAAATTATATGCAATAATTGTGTATAGCTGTCTCTTTGATTCTAAGATGGTGAGAACAATAAATGTGTACAAATCACCCATTGCCTATTTCAGTGAAAAGTAGCAAAGGAGAGTAGGGCAGTCATTGGAGGATCCTGAAAGGGAAAAGTATGCTGCAGAGTTACACAGAAGCAATTTTGAGGAGACACTTCCTTGTTTAAGGCAGCACAGAGTGTCACTTTTCAAACCATAAGAAAAGAATATCTGAATTTAACCTTGAGATTGTTGCAAATTGTTCTTTAGCTTTACAGGAGAGTATAAAAGAAATGAACTGAAAACTTTTGTATTTGCAAATTACCTGCCTGTAGCTTTTTATGTTAGCCTGCTCATCTAAATTTTATTTTATGCTTTTCCACACCCTATAGTGAGGTTCTATAACTTCTAACAAGAGTAGTTTAACTTTTTATAAGGAATCTCAAGGACCATGATGTTTTAAATGAAATTAAATATTTAGTACTCCTCTTCTACACCATTAATTTTCTCCGCAATGACTGTAATCTCATGCTTATTTACCTAGGATTTCCCTTAAACCTACAGTACATAAAGGGACTTGCTTTAGAGTAAATATGCAAAAGGTTTTCTTTACTAAAGCTGAAATGTGACCGTTTCTATCTCCACCATGATAATTCCATAAATGGTAATGTCTTGCAGTTTAAAAAAAAAACCAAGGAAGTTCATGTCTCTTTCTTTCTAGACTTATGACAAATAAATTGTTACTTTCTGTCATCATCATCCTGGAGGTAGCCATCCTGGGAGGTGTTGTCTACTACAAGTTCTTCACTTAAGTGTTCAAGAGATGTGGCTTTTCTGCCTTCCTATCTTCCATCCACTGTATGGACATTCCTGGGCAATAGCTGTTTGACATAGATTGAAAAGGTGGATTGTATTTACTACATTTAAAAGATAGTGCTGGCTTGTTATCAGTCTTGACATGTTCCTCTGAGAATAGTGAAGAAAAGACAAACCATGAACTACATCTGCAAAATAATACAATCTCCGTTTAGGCTGAACATATTAACTTGTAACACAGCAGTTTGACCTCCCAACTGAAAAAAATGAGCATCTCCAGAGCTGAGTGATGACTTCAGAATGTAGTACATTTGGTTTCTCTTCTGTCCACTTGTATAGTAGATCAGCAGAACTATACATAATGCCCTTTGTGCGGCATCTGCTGCCACTTGGGAGATCTTAAAGCCGTACTTGCTCTTCACTGTCTGATTCATCTGGCGAACTAGGTGTTGGTAGATTCTCAAAAACAATGTGTGCTCCTTCTCTTGTCTGCCCAAAGCTTGTAGCAATCACATCTACTGCCAAACTAGCTGTTGCATTCACTTCTTCCTGTGAAGCTCCAAGGAACGGATTTACTTCTACAAGGTCCATAGCTGAAAGCAGGCCTGAGAAAACGAAGGCAGTGAGTTATTTGAGAGCAAAAGACAGAAATTTGCAGTATTTTTAAAAGTATCTCTTCAGCCAAATGACAGATCTGTCTCATTACATGTAGCATCTAAATCCAGCCTTCAATCCTACTTTTGTCCAAAGCAACAATAATTTCCAGTAGTTCCCCCTCCCCCCTTTTGTTGTTACCAGGAACACATGAATGGTTAGATGTTTAAAGTATGATATATGCCTTTAAAACTCCCTGACAGCTCTAATTAAACTGCATCAAGAAGAAGGTTGGAGAAGCTATAAAACAAACATATAAGTAACAAAAGGGAGTAGTGATGACAACTGTGGGATAAACTGGGAACACTGGCTTCTCTAAAGAAGGTTATGTTTCCATATAGCTTGTGCTAAAGTTTGGCAGTATAGCTTGTAATTTTGTTTTGTTTTACTAACTAGGAAAGGTAAATTAGGTGGCATCTGAAAGCTTGAAATAACTTGCTATTGTCTTTTTCAGTCCAGGAGGCTTCTCACGAATCCTTGAAAGGGAGAGAACGGAATAAAAGGATCTAAGCTTCTATTAGACTTACTTTATTACATTTTGATTTAAACTGAATATTTTTGTAGTACAGTTACCCTGCAAGCATGTGATTACAATTTTTGTGAATCTTGTTACCTTAACCCAAATTAAAAAAAAATGCTTGCTTGGTTTTTACCTGTGTTGTGTATTTCCTCAGAAATGTACATGCCTTCACGATATGTTAATCCACCCAAGACAGGTGTCCCTGTTGCTGGAGCCAGTGATGGGTCAAAGGCATCGATGTCAAAGCTCAGATGGATTGGTCTTGGTCCTCTGACAAAAGAGAATAATTTTGTTTGCTAAATATAGTTCATGTGCAATAAGTCACTTATCCTAGTATTCAGTAGGATAGGGCTAATGGTTGATAAAGATCAGGTTTCTGGCTTATTTATTTGCCTAACAAATATTCTCCACAAAAGATCCAGTTATATCCAAAAAATATGTTACCTGCCCAAAAGATGGTCAAACGTTCTTTCCATCACTTTCTGGATTCCAAGGCCATCAATATGTTTCATTGAAAAATACTGAATGCCGTAGTTCTTCAGAATATAACTGTTTTGAGAAAACAGTTTAAAGTTAAATATCCTTAAAGTGTAGAAACATACCAGTAATCTTGCTATGAAGTAGGGGGGGGGAGGGAATAATAACATTCTTGCAAACTAGCTATCATCTACTTACTGTTCAGCAGGATCAACATCTCTCAGACCAATATATACAATATCTAATGGTGAAAGACAGGGCTTCAGCCAGGAAAATCCAGGAAGCACTGGCACCTTCAAAATAAGAGAACAGGATCCTGAAAAGACTGATCTAGGAAATATTTTTCAGTGGCATGACCTTGCCAGCTCAATATGACAATAGTGTAGACTGCCCCCCTCCAATTTGAAAGGTAACCTGTTACAGGTACAGTGGTACCTCGGGATATGAACTTAATCCGTTCCGTGACTCTGGGCGTATCCCGAGTTGGTTGTAACCCGACACTAATTTCCCCATAGGGTTCAATGTAAATCTGGTTAATCCATTCCGCCCTCCGAATTTGGTCACACCCCGAAGCAAATTTTCCCATAAGGTTCAATGTAATTACCGTTAATCCGTTCTGGCGTCCGTGGACCACGCTTCAGGGGCAGGAAAACGGCCAGGCGCCGCACAGCGGGGTGGGAAAACGGACGGGCGCCACGCGGCGCGGTGGGAAAATGGCCGGGCACCGCATGGCACGGCGGGAAAATGTCCATGGACCATGTGTCAGGGGCGGAAAAATGGCCGCGGACCACGTGTTGGGGGCGGAAAAATGGCCGCAGACCACGTGTCGGGTGGAAAAATGGCCGCGGACCATGTGTCGGGCGGGAAAAAAGCCGCGGACCACATGTCAGGAGCGGAAAAATGGCTGCGGACCACGTGTCAGGGCGGAAAAATGACCGTACCCCGAGGCGGAGTTCGCACATCGAGGTAAATCTTTGTGGTCATAACCCGAAAAGTTCGTTAGTAGAGGCGTTCGTATCCCGAGGTACCACTGTACCTTGTATTTAAGAGATATTGCTACATTCCTGTAGCCGTTATTCTTCCACAAGAATAACTTGTAAGAGCTTAAAGACAGGAATTACCCATTTTATTTTTTTCCTTTTTTTCAGTCCAGGCCAAAAAGATATCAAAATTCCTAATAAAAGCAGGTGATTGGGTCTCGTTCAGTTTGTTACATAAAATTTACTGGAATAGGCTAATTCAAAATGCTTGAGCTTTCCAAAACACATTTTAATATTGAAAGACATATTAAGAGCAGCACTGATGGCTGGAGAGGTCCACAGGAAGGTGAAAAGAAGGTTGTGGATGTGGAAAGCAGTGTTGCGCCTTTACAATTCAAGCTGTGCCCCTTTTGTGCACATGGCATTGCTCTCATGTACAAAACAATTGGAACTTTTATTATTTTGATGAAAGCATCAAACCCTGCTGTGCTCTCTTATAATGCGCATTTGGATTGCTGAGAGTGTGCTGTTCGATACATCTGTTTTGGAACAGAGCCCATTGCCATTGACCAAATTGACTAGGACTAATGGAAGTTAAAACAAAAAAATCTGATGAGCTCAGGTTACTTTTAGCCCTGCTTTAGAGGCAATTAAGATTTAGCTGATTGTAATACTGATTATAAGAGTTAGATGTAACAATAGTGGTTAGTTACAGTGTTATTTCAACTTGCTTATCTTGGTCTGAACAAATAATAACTGTTTTGAGCTGTTCAAAGTGGAATATAAATCTAGCAAACAAACTCCCCATATCTTGAGTTGGTACTACTTTTCATGAGTAGTATGATCAAATAGGTGCTTTTAACATTATATATAAAAAAAATCTTGCAAGGTAGAAGGTTATTATATAGAAAACACATCCATGCAGGATCATTCCTTTGCTTAAGGAAAACTGCCGGGACACCAGCAGGTACAGCCATGAACTTCCAGCTACTGTTTAACAAGTTATAGACTATTTCGTAGCAGGTAGAAAAAATAGTACAGGTAGTCCTCGTTTAGTGACCACAATTGGGATTGGTAACTTGGTTGTTAAGTAAAGTGGTTGCTAAGTGAAACTGTGTTTATGATCTTACTTCAGCTCCCCTTTATTTTACATGTACAGACCTGCAAAAGTCATAAATGCGAGGAATAGTCACAAAGTTACTTTTTCATTACTGTCATAACTGCAAATGGTCACTAATTGAGGCAATTGCTAAATGAGGACTACCTGTAAGTTCATATATGGTACTCTCCTGAAAGGATGGTATGGTAGAATTGCCCATCTATTAAACTAATAGCCACCCAATTTCAAATCATGTTGACTATCTCAATATAGGAGTCTTTACATCTTTTCTTTTTAGATTTTTTATCCCGCCTTTATTATTTTTTTTAATAAATAACTCAAAGTAGCAAACATACCTAATATTTCTTCCTCCTCCTATTTTCCCCACAACAACAACCCTGTGAATTACGCACCCAATAGTATTATACCCAAAGAACACCATCCTTGAATGTTCAGGATATATACCATTACAAACTAGTACCTAGGTGAAATCTGATGCCATCTACCTAATGTGATATCTTTACATTAAGAAAAAAAGACTGCTTTTGAGGCATTATCAGTATTCTTTTTTAAAATTACTAGTCATTCTAAGAAAGTAGGTTTTATCACAGCTGCCTCCATTTACATTATAAAGTTCACCCAACCCGCTAAGTAAAGATACATTATTGATCAGGAAGTTCTGTGAATAACCCTAACCCTAACCCTTCGTGTCTAGCTACTGAAAGCAAATGCTTGGAACTGAGATTATAAATCAATTAGAACTTTATATAAAGAAACAGTAGTACATTACTTTGCACTTCAGGATTTCATATGAAAATCATGTCAGATATAAGATGGGTTGGTATTCCCAGTTACATTTTATGGAACTACTTGCCTCCTTTGGGGAAATGTACATTTTAAAAATGTATTTTTTTTACAAAAATAACCACAAGATTACAATATAACTTGATCATGTCACACTTTCCTTGAGTAAACACTGTAAAACCTCTGCCTGTTTGTTCGTTTTCAGGACAGGTGTTCAAGTGAATTATTAAGTGAATACTGAAATGCCAGAGATCCTACTTGTCTTTAACTTTTTTTTAAAAAATCATTAGTTCTGATAGGTCAGTAATTACATGGGAAAATGCTATTCCTCATTGGCATCGCCATACAATCCCCACTTACCTTATCTTGAAGTTCTCTTAAAAGAAATGAAACTGGCTGCCCATGGAGGTTTCCTGATAGGCTTGTGAGTGGAGTGTTAATATCAGCGTGTGCATCAACCCAGATCACACAGAGATGTGGGTACTGCCTTGCGTGTCCACTGATAGAGCCAAGTGCTAAGCTGTGGGAGAAAACAGAGTTCAAATTTATATCTGCCCTGTCTAAACTGGGGAAAGCAGAATTAGGGTACAGTATTGGGCAAATAAATGTGGGTTAACAATCACTTTGGAAGCCAAATGTATGACAATTGCTTAAATTTGTATTATAAATGCATGTTGTGTGTGATCCCGCCCACAATGTTTTGCCACTTTTGAGGGATTATAAAGGGATAAATGTGAAGCCAGTACATAATTTTAAGATCTTGCCTTCTCTGCATTAGACTGATCAGTACCGTTTAGATAACCAAGGCAGGTTGTGAAATGCTACGTACATACCTTGAACTCAATAGCCCAAAGTGCCCACAATATGTATCAGATGGAAAATGTGCACTGAAACTAGTAATCTGTTTTTCCTAGGGGTCAGTGAGACCCCCAGGCTGAACATGATAACAATAGCCAAATTCCACTGCTCTTCGGCAACTGGGGTTCAGAGGCATTCTAGTGATATAGGCAGCCTGCATTCCCAATTCCTTGCCAGTCTAAATGCTAGATGGTGCCTGTTTGAATACACTACTTCTCTCAGGCACATAAATGCTAAATGCTTTTAAATGCTTTAGCATTTACTCTCAGAGATTTTCTCAACATCTTGCCTCTTGGAGAAGAAGACAAAAGACAAAAACAACTCCATAGGAAATGAGTCAAGTAGCAAGTTGCGCGCTGAGGTGGAGAAAAGGAGAAAGTTGAGGTCATTCTCCTTCAACCCCAAATTAGTTTGGGACTTCCAGAAAAATAGAAAAGTTCAGGTAAACTGAATCAGAAGGAATATCTCATTCAGGAACAATTACTTGGGTAGAAACTGTCTAGCTAGAAACTGCTAAATTCTGTGGCCTTTTGTCTTACAATCTTTTTTTTTTTTATGATTGGGCATATCATCTGCAGTGTTTCAGGGCATTGTATTTAACTAGCAGTTTGAATCTAAATCTTGGAAAATCGATGCTATTTATCTCTTTAAAGCAAGTTATCTCTTATTCTTAACAGATGAGCACCATCTTGTGATCTGCTGGAATACATATCTTTTATTTTTATATGTTCTTCTGGATTTTTTCTTGTTCAAGACTGCAGTTGTTGGATCCCTGGATTAGAAAAACTGTAATTTCTCTTTTCCAACATTGACTATCTGCACTCTAATACTTCAATCTAAAAGGAGTTTTTCTCCTATTTTTAAAGTTTAATTTTGCTTATTCCTATGAGATTGGTTTATCTCCTAAGGGTTAGGAGATAAGGATAACTACCCTAACCCTTAAGATAACTCCTAAGGGTTAGGGTAAGGCTAATACTTCTGGTCACAAACTTGGAAAAAACAGGAGTAGCATTATAGCAATTGTTTCATTATTGTCTTTTTACATGCCAGAAAGGCAACAGTGTGTCTCTCTCATTCCAGGGTTAGAGGGAGAACTCCAGGTGCAATGCTTCCTAGAGGCAAAGGGTGGTAGGGAGCTATCAAGCAACCAAGGGACAGGATGCAGGACGAGGGTGTGAGGTCCTACCTATAACTTGAAGTATTTACTTGAAAGGAAGATAAGTGCTTCCTCAAATAAGGTATGGTTAGGGTTAGGTTAAAATAGAGTTATCCTAGACTCATTGAGAATATGGTAATGGAGGCGGATGAGTGTTCCTGTCTAATTACCCTTTTTGAGAGTGCAAGAGAGGGTTTTTTAAAATTCAGGATTGACTACGTTTTTGTTTATACAGTAGTAGTACATTCATGAAAAGGACCTACAGTATAACTTTAAATGGACAGATCATCATCTAGTCCCCCAAATGGTTCTCAGATCTAGTGTTGCCAGGCCCATCATTTGTGGAATTTCATCAATTGCTGTAACCAAAGGTATTATTTAAGAGTCAGTACCCCTTTTTACATTTGTTCATGTTAACACTTTCAACCAGCCATTTAATGGGTCCAAGTGTAAAGAAAAGTGTACTTCACTGATCTTTATATAAAAGTTGTCAGATGCTAATTTCAGCTTTCCCAACTCACCTATGATCACCTCCAATGGTTATGCAGCTATGCCCAGCTGCCACAGCTCCATTCACAGTGTCAGCCAGAACTTGGTTAGCTAATCCTACGGAGCGTGGGTACTTGACTAGGTTATTGTAGAGTTCGTCATTGGGCACCTGGGTGAAATTTAAGTCTCCAAGATCATATACCTGGCAACCTAGGAATAACCAGAATGGAAGCAGAGTTGTATAGATTAGCCCAGTCTGATGGCAGAATATGATGGGATTTAGAATTAAGTTGCTTATTGGAGGTATATAAACACCTGCTTTTGAGTTATATAACATATAATGCTGATACCCAAGGTCCCAGCTTTATATTTATGGAGAATGATCTAAATAGAAGTCTATGTCTGGCATGAGTGTGTCTCTAAAATTCATAAACCTGCAATTTACAGGTCTGCAATGTTGCATCACCAGCTGATGCAACAGGAGTTTTACCATCATTCTAATAACATAACGCATCGTATTAATAACATACTATACTCAAGCCTTGTAAATGAGAATAGTCTGACATCAGAGCTACTGAAGTTTTTGGCAGGAAACCAAAACTAACAGAAAGCTCATTAATAAAGTTATATCTATCTATATAAAACTAAAACACTGTTTGTAACCTTCAATTAACTGAAACAGTGCATCATAACACAACAGTTTTTGAACGAAGGTACCTCAAATCAGCTAACTTAAAGAATACATGCAAAATCTGGGACCCATTACTCCTGTGTAATTGACATTTCAAGGATCTTCAGACCAGTTGTGCTGGCAAAGTTGTGGCTGCTGTAGTGCTGCTGTGGTCATGTAATCATGAAGTCTGATGCTCCCTGCCAGCTTCCCACAAGCAAAGTCAGTGGGGAAGCTGGCAGGAAATCAGAAATTGCTCCCACTCCCACTGCTTTCTTGCCCATGGTCATTCTGTCAACCTCTTTAGGTAAGTAGATTTTGACTTATTATTGAAGTTTGCTTGCCATTACAATTATTCTTCTATTTATTGTCTATGACCCAACAGATCATAGGTTGTCTAGTAATACATAATGCTGATACCAAGATTCCAGCTTTAGATTTATGGAGAATGATCTAAATAAAAGTCTGTTTCTGGTGTGTGCATATCTCTGAAATCCATAAACCTGCAATTTACAGGTCTGCAATGAGGTATTACCAGCTGATGCAACAGGAGTGCATTTACCATCATTCTAATAACATAATGCGTCATATTAATAACATAATATATTCAAGCTTGTAAACAAGAACAGTCTGATATTAGAGCTACTCAAGTTTTTGGCAGGAAACCAAGACTAACAGAAAGCTTATTAATAACGTTCTTTATAGCACCTTAGATCCCCGAACATCTTTTAGCTTGGGAACTAGGTAAAGCTGAAAGTAGAAATAATTGTGGCTTTAATAACTGGTTTTCCATTTGCAAAAATGAGGACCAACAATTATTTGCTTGTTTCTTTCTCCACCAAGTCTTGGGATCATTCTTGGTGCAGTTGAACATTACTTATGTATTCAATTTATATTCTGGAGACAGACATACATATGTCCTCTAAGGCTAGAATTTGGTACAGACATACTTTAAACCCATCCCCCTCATTTTTTAATTAAGTTGTGTGTTGAAGTGTCCTTGAAAGCCCAGAAGCTTACAATTATTTTCTAAACTTTCAGTCTGTCTGAATATGATCTTTTCCCTACAGAATGCAGTTGTTTTGGTTAATTAGCTATTTTGCTTTATCATCTAGTTTGATCTGTTCCTTTCCTCTTTTGGATGCATTTCATTTTCATTTACAGACTTCAAAGTTTTGAAGTCTGTAAATGAAAATGAAATGCATCCAAAAGAGGAAAGGAATTGTTTGGCCTTCACTTTGCAGTAATATTCCCTTTTCTCATGAATATACACACTCCTATTCCACTTCGATGCTGTAGGCTTTGGCTCATAATAAATGTGCCCTCTCAACCTTTTCTTATAAGATGTCACTAAACATTTCTGATGGCCATTCCTCTAGAATTTGTAATCATGTTTGCATCAATTTGCTTCAAAAACATTAGTCACATCTTGTGGCACATTCAATCCACATGTTTCAAAGGCTAAAGTTAAATTCTCACTCGAGCCTGAACAAATATATTGGAAAGGGGAGATCTTCAATAATCACGAGCCTTTGCGGGGGGAAGGGGGGGATGACAAATCAAGATGGCATCTGCACCTGTATGATCAAAGCCTCACTCCTTTTTGCACACATTGCACATAGAAAAGGAGGAGAAAAAAGTAGTTAGCACAATTTAACTGTTTTAAATGGAAGCAGCATATTGTTTCCACATTATATCAAAAGCAAAAGATACTATGATTTAGTAATGCTAGAGAAATGTAGCACTCCTGAAAGCTAGACCATATTAGGAAATAATTGTTTTATAATTTCAGCAGATTGTTGGAAGGGATACATGTGAAAAATCAGATAAGCTGATAATAACAGATAAAATATTATGTCCTTAGCCAAGTTATGAAAATAAAACGTGTTGAACCCCAGCCAAAGCTCTGTGTTAGTTTGAATATTATTGTTTCCCTATGAATAATTCAATGCTACAACAGTAATAAACTATTCCTATTCTATCTAGCTCATTCACTTCTTTATATTGTTCATGCTATATACCAAAGAGTGCTGGCAGGTGAATCTTATGGCACAGGGGTAGAAACTTTTTTGGGCCAATGGAAAGGCTTGAAATTATGAAAATATGAGGGCACTCTCACAAAATGGTTGTCATGATTGGCACTGCCAATCATTGAACTTCATTTGCCAGAAGACAGAGAGATGGGATGGCCCTTCATTATCCCCATCCGCTTCTCCAAGATATTTTCTAACAATGGGTTATAAGCCACCAGAGTTGTTTTAAGAAGGGCAGCTATTCAAATATTTTAAATAAACATACTTCAACTTACCTTTCCCCTTTTTATGGATAGGTGGGCATAACTGTTACCCAAAGCACGAAGCTACAGCCACACTCTATTTTATTTTCTGAGAACGCTTATGTGAGGCTCAGAGGCATTAGCATGAATAAACGTCAGAAAGATTAGAGCTTTGCATTGCTCCAACCTACTTAAAAAAATAACTAAGGACTCTTAAGGAATTAAAGTCAGATGGGACACAAAGAAGGTTTCCATGGAGACATCAGAGTCCTAAGTACCTTGTTGGCTACCTTTGTCATCACAGATATTATAGCAAGGTGTGCCCCACTTCAAGCTATTTAAGCTATCTTCTACATTGCAGTGCTTTTCAAATGTGTTGAACCAATTCCTAGATTTCCTAAAAGTCCAACTGCTGAGGAAATTTTGGAGCTGAAGTCCAATGTGTGTACTTGTTATAAAGATGCCAGTTGTAGTGTTACATACATAGGGGCAATGTAACGAGCATCTTTACCAGTATGAAGTGTGCATGGTCTACACCTCTCTCCATACATCTTTCTACCCTTGCCAACCATCTTTGCTTCCACCAAAACCATACACCACTGCAAGTGTTGCCTCTTTGAGTTTCTCATTGTTTCTCATCTCTCTCTCGTTTCATGATCTTATCAATTCCGTCCAACCACGACTTTCTTAGTCTTCCCTTCCTCTCAACCCACTATTCTTTCACACGCAGAGAGCAATTCAACCCCTATTCATTCCTTCCGTATTAGTAAACTGTATCAACATACCTCTTCATTCATGCCAATTTATTCACCATCCATTGCTTCTTGATCCTACTTTTTCTTGTTGTACCACAAACACTTCTGAAGTATCCTATTGCTACTACATACAATGTTTCTCCTGGCATAGCCAACTCTCTATTCCATATAGCAAAGTGGGCAGAAGTATACTCTTATACACTGCTGCCTTCCCTTCTTTCAACAAACATTCATTTCTCACCACCAAACATGTATTACCTACTACTTTCCTACCAGCATTTGTACATCTTTACTTTTTTCCATTCATTCTCCCATCTTAGGAAATACTAGACAACCCATGATCTGTTGAGTCATGGTTTCAGAGAGATTTCCATACCTAAACAGAGAAACAGAATGACCAAGGGCAAAAAAGCAGTGGGTGTGTGAGCAACTTATGACTTGCTGCCGGCTTCTCCATTGACTTTGCTTGTGGGAAGCCAGCAGGGAACGTCAGAAATCTCCCTTCCCTTCCCTTCCCTTCCCTTCCCTCATATAATAGAGGCTTGTGCCATTTGCCCTCCCCTCATGACCCTCAGGAGAACCCAGGTAAAGCCTCCTCCTCTTCAGCTGACCTGCGGAACTGCCCACCACTTTGCTGGGGGTAGGTGGAAAAAGGGAGCAGCAGATCATGAGGAAAATTGCACCCCTGCTCCCCATTCCAGCATGTTCCCAGGGCCGACCTCACAGGAGGAAGAGGGCTCACTCATCGACCACCAGCTTCCCCCAGCCAGCTCTACCTTGCAAGCAGGCATCCAAGTTGCTCCCTCATCCTTCCCTCAATGCCCACAGCCATTAACAGATTTCTAATTTCTGCCTCATTTCCAAAGCAGCCAATCACCACTCACCCATCAGGCCTTGCCAGCAGCCGATTGGGTGTAGGGGACAGAGGGAGGCAAGAAAGAGGTCAGGGATATGCCCAGGACAATCACATGACCTGGGCTGACCATGGCAGTGCAGCAGCAGAGCAATGCTGAAACAGCCACAAATTCCCAAATTTCAATCCTATGGGGTAATGGGTCCTGGATTTTGGACACATTCTGTAAGTTAGCCCATTTGCGGTACTTTGGTTCAAAAACTGTTGCCTATGATGCACTGTTTCGGCCAGTTGAAGGTTACAGACACCAGAATTTTAGTAGTTTATTGTGATGGAAGGCATGAACGGGGAAGGTTCTGGAATGGAGCTTCAAGGTTGCTGGGAGGGGGAAGAGACTTTCCAGGGGAAGCACCTCCTCAGTCCCCAGCCGGAGTGTGGGAAAGCCAAGAGAACGAGACTGGCCCCTCCCTAGGGCATTGTGGTTATAGTTACTGTTGTGGTATAAATTTAGTCTGGTGAGATTCTGTCTATTAGGTGTAAGCTAATAAAGGAGCCAAACTGTTCTGGACTGTCTCGCTGTCATTCTTGGGCTGAACCTGACATCAATCTCAGATGTCAGGTTCCATGATGCCCTAGGGAAGGGCCAGTCTCGTTCTCTTGGCTTTCCCACACTCCGGCTGGGGACTGAGGAGG